GAAACGCGCCTGGCGCCGCCACCAGCCGTTTGTCACCGCCATTCATCCCCCCCTTCCTCTTCCTCCCGGCCGGGCAGGGCGCCCCGGACCCCCCAAGGGATGGGGCGGGATGGGGGGGAGCTGCCGGGACACGGGAGGAGTCGGGAGCGGGATGCACACACGGATGGATGGGCAGGTGCACGGAGGGATGTGGGGGGCACGGAGGGATGGAGGGGGGACAGGGACACGCACAGGGATGGATCCAGCCGTCCCCTGTCTCTTCTCCATCTGTCAAGTCTTACCCCATCCATCTTTCCAGCTGTTCCATCCTCCCCACCCACCCAGTCCTCTTCTCCAGCCATCCTCTATCGTCTCCGTCTGTCTTCTCCGTCCATCTATCCTGCTCCATCGCTTTTTCCATCCCGCTTCCACCCGTCCCTCATTTACCTCGTCCCTCCATCCTTCTTCACCCCTCTTCCCAGCTGTTGCTTCTCTCCATCCATCCATCCATCCATCCATCTTCGTCATCCACCCATTCCTCTTCTCTATCCATCCTTCTCCATCTGTCTTCTCTATCTTACTCTATTTCTCCAGCTATCAAGTTCTCCACCCATCCTTCTTCATCCCTATTCTCCATCCATCTTCCCAGCCATTCCTTCCATTCCTCTTCTCCATCCATCCTCTACCTCTGCCATGTGTCAGTCCTTATCCATCCTTCTCCATCCATCCTTCTCCATCCATCTTCCCAGCCATTCCTTCAGCCATCCTCTGCCTTCTCCTGTGTCAGCTTATCCATCCTTTCCTCCATCCATCTTCCCATCCATTCCTTTCATCCATTCCTCTTCTTCATCCATCCTCTACACCTCCATGTATCAGTCTTTATCAATCCTTCTCCATCCATCCTCTACCTTCTCCATGTGTCAGTCTTATCCATCCTTCTCCATCCCTATTCTCCATCCATCTTCCCAGCCATTCCTTCCATCCATTCACCCATTCCTCTTCTCCATCCATCCTCTACCTCCTCCATGTGTCAGTCTTATCAATCCTTCTCCATCCATCCTCTACCTTCTCCATATGTCAGTTTTATCCATCCTTCTCCATCTATCCACCCATCCTTCTCCATCCCTATTCTCCATCCATCTTCCAGCCATTCTTTCCATCCATTCCTCTTCTCCATCCATCCACTACCTCCTCCATGTATCAGTCTTATCAATCCTTCTCCATCCATCCTCTACCTTCTCCGTGTCAGTCTTACCCACCCTTCTCCTCCACCCATCCTCCTCCATCCCTATTCTCCATCCATCTTCCCAGCCATTCCTTCCATCCATTCACCCATTCCTCTTCTCCATCCATCCTCTACCTCCTCCATGTGTCAGTCTTATCAATTCCTTCCCCATCCATCCTCTACCTCCTCCATGTGTCAGTCTTATCAATCCTTCTCCATCCATCCTCTACCTTCTCCATGTATCAGTCTTATCAATCCTTCTCCATCCATCCTCTACCTTCTCCGTGTCAGTCTTACCCACCCTTCTCCTCCACCCATCCTCCTCCATCCCTATTCTCCATCCATCTTCCCAGCCATTCTTCCATCCATTCACCCATTCCTCTTCCCCATCCATCCTCTACCTCCTCCATGTGTCAGTCTTATCAATCCTTCCCCATCCCTCTTCCTCCTCCATGTGTCAGTCTTCTCCACCCTTCTCCTCCACCATCCTTCTCCATCCCTATTCTCCATCCATCCTTCCCAGCCATTCCTTCCATCCATTCACCCATTCCTCTTCCCCATCCATCTCTACCTCCTCCATGTGTCAGTCTTCTCCACCCTTCTCCTCCACCCATCCTTCTCCATTCCCTCTTCTCCATCCATCCTCTACCCCCTCCACACGTCAGTCTCACCCCTCCTTCTCCACCACCCATCCCCCTGCTCCCTCCTCACCTCCCGTCCCCTCTTGCAGATGACGTCCTCCACCAAGGTGTTCTACAGCCAGACCACGCAGACCGAGAGCCGCCGCTCATGGGCGCGGGGCTGCGCCGGCGCCGCGTCATGACCAAGGACGGCCGCAGCAACGTGCGCATGGAGCACATCGCCGACAAGCGCTTCCTGTACCTCAAGGACCTGTGGACCACCTTCATCGACATGCAATGGCGCTACAAGCTCCTCTCTTCTCCGCCACCTTCGCCGGCACCTGGTTCGCCTTCGGCGTCGTGTGGTACCTGGTGGCCGTGGCCCACGGGGACCTGCTGGAGTTCGAGCCGCCGGCCAACCACACGCCGTGCGTGATGCAGGTGCACACGCTCACCGGCGCCTTCCTCTTCTCCCTCGAGTCCCAGACCACCATCGGCTACGGGTTCCGGTACATCAGCGAGGAGTGCCCGTTGGCCATCGTGCTGCTCATCACCCAGCTCGTCCTCACCACCATCATGGAGATCTTCATCACCGGCACCTTCCTGGCCAAGATCGCCCGGCCCAAGAAACGCGCCGAGACCATCCGCTTCAGCCAGAACGCCGTGGTGGCTCAGCACGACGGCAAGACCTGCCTCATGATCCGCGTGGCCAACATGCGCAAGAGCCTCCTCATCGGCTGCCAAGTGACGGGCAAGCTCCTGCAGACCCACCTCACCAAGGAAGGCGAGAGCGTCCACCTCAACCAGCTCAACGTGGACTTCCAGGTGGACACGGCCTCGGACAGCCCCTTCCTCATCCTGCCCCTCACCTTCTACCACGTGCTGGACGAGGGCAGCCCTTGCGGGACGTGGCCCTGCGCCCGGGCGAAGGCGACTTCGAGCTGGTGGTGATCCTCAGCGGCACCGTGGAGTCCACCAGCGCCACGTGCCAGGTCCGCACCTCCTACCTGCCCGAGGAGATCCTTTGGGGCTACGAGTTCACGCCGGCCATCTCGCTCTCGGCCAGCGGCAAGTACGTGGCCGACTTCAGCCTCTTCGACCGCGTGGTGGAGGTGCCGGCGCCGCGCGGTCCCCGCCAGCCCCCCCGCTTCGGAGACCCCGAGAAGGTGAAGCTGGAGGAGTCCTTGCGGGAAGCGGCCGAGCGGGAGCGCGAGGGAGCGGGCTCAGCGTGCGCATCAGCAACGTCTGAAGCGCGCCCGCGCCGTGGGGCAGGCGTGGTGGTGTGTGGGGGGGGAGGTACCGGGCATGGAGATGCCACCACCTCCTGCAGGCGTCCCCGGGCCTGGAGGTGTTGGCATACCCAGAGGTGCCACCAGTGCCTGGAGGCGTCACCGGGCTGGAGGTGGCACCAGCACTGGAGATGCCACCAAGCCCTTACGGTGACACCAAGCTCTTCTGGTGCCACCAGCACTGGAGATGCCAACCAAGCCCTTACGGTGACACAAGCTCTTCTGGTGACACCAGCATTGGAGATGCCACCAACCCTAGAGATGCCAGCAGCGTTGGAGATGCCACCAAGCCCTTATGGTGACACCAAGCTCTTCTGGGGCCACTAGCATTGGAGATGCCACCAAGCCCTTACGGTGACACCAAGCCTGTAGATGCCACCAGCATTGCAGATGCCACCAGCCCTTATGGTGACACCAAGCTCTTCTGGTGACACCAGCATTGGAGATGCCACCAACTCTAGAGATGCCAGCAGCGTTGGAGATGCCACCAAGCCCTTACGGTGACACCAAGCTCTTCTGGTGACACAAGCATTGGAGATGCCACCAAGCCCTTATGTGACACCAGCACTGGAGATGCCACCAAGCCCTTATGGTGACACCAAGCTCTTCTGGTGACACCAGCATTGGAGATGCCACCAAGCCCTTATGGTGACACCAAGCTCTTCTGGTGACACCAGCATTGGAGATGCCACCAAGCCCTTATTGGTGACACCAAGCCTGTAGGTCCCACCAGCACTGGAGATGCCACCAAGCCCTTATGGTGACATCAAGCTCTTCTGGTGACACCAGCATTGGAGATGCCACCAAGCCCCTTATGGTGACACCAAGCCTGTAGGTCCCACCAGCACTGGAGATGCCACCAAGCCCTTATGGTGACACCAAGCTCTTCTGGTGACACCAGCACTGGAGATGCCACCAGCCCTTATGGTGACACCAAGCTCTTCTGGTGACACCAGCACTGGAGATGCCACCAAGCTCTTCTGGTGACACCAGCACTGGAGATGCCACTAAGCCCTTATGGTGACACCAAGGCCTGGTAGATGCCACCAGCATTGCAGATGCCACCAAGCCCTCATGGTGACACCAAGCTCTTCTGGTGACACCAGCAGTGGAGATGCCACCAACCCCTTATGGTGCCACCAACCCTTCCCCTGTTTCCCCCCCAGGCTGCTCCTGTTCCCATCCCAGCCTGTCCCTTGCCCCCCCCCAAGCCCCACCCCATTGCAGGACACAGCCCTGCAGGGAGATGCTGCCCTGGGGGACATGGGGGGGGGGGTGTCACACCTGGGGGTGTCACCGATAATCGGACACGTGTCCCCCCCCGCTGCTAACGTAGAGCTCTGCTATTAACGCGCGGCCCCCGGCCCCCATGTACGTGTATAGAGAGAGCCACTAACCGGGGGGCAGGAAGGGCCCCCCCCCCCCCCCAAAAATGGGTCCCACCCGCCCCCCCCGGGGGGGTGGGGCTCAGCCTCCACTGGGGGGCAAAGGCAAAGCGGTTACTAAATAAAGGCTGCGTTGATGGTGGGGCCGGGCCTGTGTGTCCCCATGTCCCGTGTCCCACCCCATAAGCAGTGCAGAGGGGCAGAGCCCCCCCCAGGGACAGGCTGTGTCTAAAGACACAGTTTGGTTTATTTCCAGCCCCCCCCCCCCCCCCAGTCCAAGGGGGTAACTGGGAGCAGTGGGTTGGGGGCACATTCCCAACCCCCCACCCCAGCCTTGTCCCCAAGTAGGGGACGCGGTGAATGTCCCCACAGGGGAGGGGGCGTAAAACCAACCCCCCCCCCCCCCCCAAATCCACGTGGGGCTGCCCCAAAGGCACCGGGTGAAGCTGCAGCATCCCGAGGAGCAGTGAAATCCCGGCGGAGCCACGGTCCCGGGGGGGGGGGGCACTGGGGACACTGGGGACACCGGGACGACCGCAGCGGGGGGGGGGTCACACCAGGAAGGACGATGTCTGCTTGAACTCTCCCTGTGGGGATGGGGGGGGACATCGATGGCGCTGGGGGATGGGGGGCACCCAACTGGTCCAGCTGGGTTTGCTGGATGGGGAATGTCAGGGATGGGGAAGGAATGGGGAAGGATGGGGAAGGATGGGGAAGGATGGGGAAGGATGGGGAAGGATGGGGAAGGATGGGGAAGGATGGGGAAGGATGGGGAAGGATGGGGAAGGATGGGGAAGGATGGGGAAGGATGGGGAAGGATGGGGAAGGATGGGGAAGGATTGGGAAGGATGGGGAAGGATGGGGAAGGATGGGGAAGGATGGGGAAGGATGGGGAAGGATGGGGAAGGATGGGGAAGGATGGGGAAGGATGGGGAAGGATGGGGAAGGATGGGGAAGGATGGGGAAGGATGGGGAAGGATGGGGAAGGATGGGGAAGGATGGGGAAGGATGGGGAAGGATGGGGAAGGATGGGGAAGGATGGGGACGGCAAAGGATGGGACGGGGAATGGGAACACCAGGGATGGGGAAGATGGGGAATACTGGGAACAGGGAATGCTGGGGTCAGGGAATACCAGGGATGGGAAGAGGGAACAGTGGGGGCTGAGGATGGGGAATGAAGGGGATGTGGACAGAGAATACCAAGGATAGAAATACCAAGGATAGGGACAGGGAATGCTGGGATGGGGGAGAGGGAATGATGTTGATGGGGATGGGGAAAGGGAACACCAGGGATGGAGAACGCTGGGGATGGGGAAGATGGGGAATACTGGGAACAGGGAATGCTGGGGTCAGGGAATGGTGGGGCTGGGGACAGGGAACAGTGGGGTTGAGGAGAGGGAATGAAGGGGATGGGGAGAGAGAAAACCCAAGGGTGGGGATAGGGAATGGCAGGGATGGGGACAAGGAATACTGCGGACAAGGAATGCCAGGGTTGGAGCCAGGGAACAACAGGGATAGGGAATGGTGGGGATAGGGATGGGGAACAGCAGGGATGGGGACAGGGAACACTGCGGACAAGGAATGCCAGGGTTGGAGCCAGGGAATAACAGGGATGGGGAATAGTGGGGATAGGGATGGGGAACGGCAGGGTTGGAGCCAGGGAACAACAGGGATAGGGAATGGTGGGGATAGGGATGGGGAACGGCAGGGATGGGGACAGGGAATGATGGGAAACGCACGGCTCCGAGTTCCCAGCTGGGCTTAAACCACAACCCCGGGGATGGGGACGGGGAATGGCAGGGACAGGGAACGGGGACAGGGACGAGGGCTGGGGCTGTCCCTGCGCTGCCCCTCACCTGGCTGCGGTGCGAGGGTTGGCTGTAAATCACCTTCTTGCCGGTGCCGCTGCAGGAAGAGAAGGGAAGGGGGCGATGGGGCAGGGAACAGATCCCCCCCTGCCCCCATCACCCCCCCAGCACCCGGTGCCTCCGAGGACCTTCCCAAGCCCAGAGTGAGGAGGAGGAGGAGGCAGCAGCGGCTTCACTTACTCTTTTCTCTCTGGAATAGAAGAAAGAGCTGGAGTTAAGGGGGGCATCATGGGGGGGGACATCATGGGGGGGACATCATGGGGGACACATCATGGAGGGGACACATCATGGGGACACACATCGTGGGGACACGCATCGTGGGGGGGACACATCATGGGGGGGACACCATGGGGGGGACACCATGGGGGGGGACACCATGGGGGGGGACACCATGGGGGGGGACACATCATGGGGGGACACATCATGGGGGGGACACATCATGGGGGGGGACATCATGGGGGGGACATCATGGGGGGGGACATCATGGGGGGACACATCATGGGGGGGACACATCATGGGGGGACGCATCGTGGGGGGGGCACATCATGGGGGGGGACACATCATGGGGGGACACATCATGGGGGGGACATCATGGGGGGGGACACATCATGGGGGGGACATCATGGGGGAGGGACATCATGGGGGGGGGCACAGGGCCCAGGACTCACTGCTGAAGAAGCCCCGTCTGTAGGCAAACCAGACGCCGAAGGCCACGAGTGCCAGCACCATCAGCAGCACCACGACAGCGGCCACGATGCCGCCGACGTTGACCTCACCTGCAAAGGCAAAGAGGGATGGGGAGGGCTGAGAGGGGCCAATCCCAGTGGGGAAACCCGGGAAGAGAGCCCGGAGCCAGGATCCGACCTGGATCTGGGTAGATCCAGCAGCCGAATCCAGCTTTAGGTGTCCCCAGGGGCAGTTTTCCCCTTTCCCTGTCATCAAACCGGGCTCTTGGGAACGCCAACGGGATCTTTAACACTGCAAGGGAACGACGGTGCCCCCCCCTCAACCTGGGGCTGGTCCTTACTGGCTTCCATACGGATAGCATCGGATCTCTGCGCGGATCCTACGTTGTTGCTGGCCTCGCAGGAGTAGGCACCGCTGTCGGAGCTGCCGAGGGGCTGGAAGACCTGGATGGGAGCCGGGATGTGAGCGCAGGATACAGGGAACCAGGGATGGGATACCCACGCTTGGAGCCCACCCCCTCATTCACCAGCTCGCCCGTGGCGGTGTCCAGGGTGTAGGAGGAATTGCGGAAGCTGGGGCTGGATTTGGGATCGGTGGGGAGCAGCATCCCGTCCTTGTACCAGCGGAAGGTGGGGGGGGGCGAGCCGTCCGTCTCGGTGCAGCGCAGCACGATCCTGCTGCCGATGGTGGCCGAGGTGGGGACGTGGGCCACGGGCTTGGAGGGCGGCACTGGGGGAGCCGCGGGCTGGGTCAGCACCGGTCCCACACCACGGCGGGGACAGGGACGAGCAGGGATGGGGGGGCACGGGCGCACCTTGGACAATGAGGTTCACCTCGGACTTGGCGATCTTGCTGCCGTCCCCCACCACCTCGCAGATGTACTTCCCGGTGTCCGCCCGCGTCACCGTGACGAAGGCGATGGCGTTGGGGGAGAAACGGATCCGGTCCTTGTAGGGCTCTGGAAGAGAGGGAATGGGCTGGGAATGGGGCTGGATGGGCACAGGGAAAAGGGGAGGGGGAAGGTGTGCGTGTGTGTGTGCCGTACCCGTCAGTTCCCCCCATAGTAGAAGAGCACAAGCGAGGATCCCTTCTGGAACTTCCACTCGATGCGGGGGTTCTTCAAGCCGAACTCGTAGGCGGCACAGGGAATCTCGGCGGCTATGGGGTGGGATTGGGGGGGGGGAAACGGTGCTGCCGACCCGTGCCACCGGAGCAGCAAGCGGGAACCCCCGGCGCCGCGATGGGATAACGGGGACGGGGACACTCACGCTCGTTCTCAGGCACTTCTTTGGTCTCGTAGGTGACCTGGGCTCCCACCAGCGACACTGCGGAGGGACAAGGACCCGGCTCTGGGATCCAATGGGATCCAGGGAGCAGGAAGGGGTCAGCGGAGCCCCGAGGCGGCGGTGACGGTCACCGGAGCCCGGTGACACCAACACCCGCTGGGACACGGGCTCCGGAGCTGGAAAATCCCGTCCGGCTGCTCCGGGTGCGCCGCGGCCCTGCCCGGTTTCGGGCCACTCGGCCACGCACACGGAATGCGCCTGGGCACGCGTGGCCCCTGCCCTTCCCCAAAGGCACCCCGAAACGGGGCGGGAAGAGGGATTTTTGGGGTGAAATAAGGCGGAAATGGGTGTTGGGTGGCTCCAAGCATAAAGCGTTGCTCAACACCAAGGGAATGCCATCGGCATGGAAAAGTCTGGAAGCGCGGCCCGGGGAAGGATTTGGGGTGAATTCAGGTGGATTCGGGGCACAAGGAGCCGGCAGAGGCCACGCCATGGGATCACCGCCGGCTCCACCGCGGCCGCCATCGGGTTAATCCCGAGCGGCTCCGGGACCGCTCCCGCACAAAGGGGCAGGAAAAGGCACCGAGACCACGGCCCCGCACCCCGAAACCGCAGCCTTTGGAGCCGCGGCCCCGGGATACCCCCCCCCCCCCACCGGCGGCACCAGGAAGAGCCCCGGCTCCGGCCGGGATGTTTGCCTGAGCCGGGTTTCCGGCGCCGGGAAGTGCGGCCGGATCCACACCCTCCGTTACCGGCTCCACCGAGGGACTCGGTTCCCCCATGCCCCCGGTACCGCGAACCCCCCCCCCGTACACAAAGACCCTGATCCGCAGAGCCCCCGGTACCCCAAGAACCTGAACTCCCCGGTACCGTGGGACCCCGAAACCCCCGGTTCAGAGAACCCCCGATACTCCGGATACCCCGAACCCCCGGTACAGCGAACCTCCCGGCACCCACGGTACCCCCGGTACCGCGAATCCCCAGCTACCCACGATACCGCGACCCCCCCGGTACCCACGATACCCCCGGAACCGCGAATCCCCCGCTACCCACGATACCCCCGATACAGCGAACCTCCCGGTATCCACGATACCCCCGATACCGCGAACCTCCCGGCACCCACGATACCCCCGGTACCGCGAATCCCCAGCTACCCACGATACCGCGACCCCCCCAGTACCCACGATACCCCCGACACCGCGACCCCCCCGGTACCCACGATACCCCCGGAACCGCGAACCCCCCCCATACCCCCGATACCACGAACCCCCGCTACCGCGAACCCCCGCTACTCACGATACCCCGATACCGCGAATCCCCGATACCACGAACCCCTCGATAACCTCGAACCCCCCGGTACAGCGAATCCCCGATACCACGAACCTCCGGTAGCACGAACCCCCCGATAACCTCGAACCCCCCGATAACCTCGAACCCCCCGATAACCTCGAACCCCCCGGTACAGCGAATCCCCGCTACCCCGAACCCCCCGCGTGTCGCTGGGAGCGGCACCGGCTCAGCCCTCGCCCGGTTCCTTTGGGTCTTCACCCGGTGCTGGTGTCCCCCGTCCCCCCCCGCCCCACGCTGCGGTTCCCGGTGACAAAGTTCTTTATCGCCCATAAACCCAACCACAAACCATAAACAACGGGGCGGTGCCGCCGTGCCCCCTGCGCCCTAACGGGGCTCCACCGGGGCGGGAGGGCTCCACAAGACCCCGTTACCAGACCCCGTTACCAGGCCTCAGACACCCCCCCCCCCAATACCCCCAATACCCCCGAACCCCCGGTACCGGCCACCCCCCCCCCACAATACCCCCGGTACCGGAGGCCCGCGGCCATTGTCCGGTCACCTCGTGGTCCCCGTCCCCCCCGGCACTCACCGGCCGCCCCGAGGAGCAGGAGCCAGGGCCCGGGGCCGCCCCCCGCCGCTGCCGCCATCGCCGCCGCCTCGCCCGCGCCAGGTGCGGCCCCGCCCCGCCCAGGTGCGGCCCCGCCCCTCCCCGAGGGGCTGGACCAACCGGGTGCCGCCCCTCCACCAGGTGCTGCGGAGCCCCGCCTCTCACCCCATCGGCCATTGGCTGGGCCTCCTGTCAGAGCCAAGAGCGGACGCGGCCCGCAACCAATAACAAGAAGGCTCGGCCCCAAACCTCTGATTTGATTGGCTGGGGAGAAGAGGCCGTGCGAGAGACAGGTGTGAAAAAGGATTGGGCGGGGCAAAACCTGCTGGCCAATCAGAAAGCGCTCTTTAACTTCTGGCCAATGGGAGCGCGTTGCGTCCGTCGCCGGGGCCCTCGGGCGGGGACACCAGGGCGTTACCATGGCGACGGGGCCTGCGGCCTCTTCAGACCCCGAGCGCCTCCCGGGGCTCCCGGTGCCCCCCCCCCTAATTCCAGCACCTTCCGGTATCCCCAGGGGAAAGGGGGGGGTCCCCCCATGCCCAAGGATCCCATGGGTGCCATGGAGGGCTCCATGGGTGCTATGGAGAGCTCCACGGGTGCTATGGAGAGCTCCATGGGTGCTACGGAGAGTTCCATGGGTGCTATGGAGGGCTCTATGGGTGCTATGGAGAGCTCCATGGGTGCTATGGAGGGCTCCACGGGTGCTATGGAGGGCTCCACGGGTGCTATGGAGGGCTCCATGGGTGCTGTGGTGGGCTCCATGGGTGCTATGGAGGGCTTCATGGGTGCTATGGAGGGCTCCACGGGTGCTATGGAGGGCTCCACGGGTGCTATGGAGGGCTCCATGGGTGCTGTGGTGGGCTCCATGGGTGCTATGGAGGGCTTCATGGGTGCTATGGAGGGCTTCATGGGTGCTATGGAGAGCTCCACGGGTGCTATGGAGGGCTCCACGGGTGCTATGGAGGGCTCCATGGGTGCTATGGAGGGCTTCATGGGTGCTATGGAGAGCTCCACTGGTGCTATGGAGAGCTCCACGGGTGCTATGGAGGGCTTCATGGGTGCTGTGGTGGGCTCCATGGGTGCTATGGAGGGCTCCACGGGTGCTGTGGTGGGCTCCATGGGTGCTGGGGGGGGCGGGGAATGAGCGGCGGGCTCTGAAAAACAAATCACTATTTTTATTTATTTTTTTGCCTTTTTTTTGTTTTCTTGGGTGTTTTTTTTTGTTTGTTTGTTTTTTTTTCGTTAAATTCAGAGTTTAAAAAAAAACCCGTCTGGCCCCGGGGGGAGGGGAGGGGGGGATGGGGGGTTGGGGGGGGGTGGGGGCGGGGCAGCCGCAGCGGGAGGTGGGGGAGGGGACACACGGACCCCGGGGACCCCCAACACCACCCCGGGAGGGGGTGTCCCATGGGGGGAGGGGGGACGGGGACATCACGGGCGCAGGCGGGGGGGGGGAGGGGGGGCAGGCAGTGCTTGGGGGGGGGAGGGGGGAAGTTTGGGGGGGCACTGGAGGGGGAGGGCCGGCGCCCGCCTGGCCGAGAGCGTGTGCACGAAGCGCGGGGGGGGGGTCTGTGGGGCACATGAAGTTTATGGGGAGGGGGGGGGCACAGGGGGAGAGGGGAACACAAACCAAAGGGGGGTCCTCATGTCACACTGGGGGGGGGGAAGGGGGGGGGGAGGGGGAGTTGTGGGTCGCGGGGGGGGGGAGGTGTCCCCCGTGTGTCCCCCCCACCCCGTCCCCGCTGTCCGTCAGTGGTGTGTCGTTCTTGATGACGATCTCGACGCCGTGCTGGCGGAGCTGCGCCCGCAGGATCAGGTTCCTTGTTCTTGAGGTCCTCGACCTGGCACCGGGATGGGGTACCCATGGGAAAGGGGGGTCAGGACAAGATGGACCCACCCCCCCACGTTGGGTATAGGGAACCTAAATCCCTACCCCACACCATTCCTCACCTGCTGCCGCAAGACCTCGTTGTCCATCTGGAGCTGGTCGAGGCCCTGCAGCTCCTCAGAGAGGCGGTGGTTGCTCTGCCGCAGCTCCTGGATGTAGTCGCAGGCTTTGGGACAGGGATCCCCCCCTTGCTCTGGGGATTGGGGATACATAGGGGTGAATTAGGGAGGGGGAGGGGGGGGGGCACCGGTACCCCATAGAGCCCACCCCGAGCCCCACTGTGCCTCCGTGGAGGGAAGGGGGGGTCCGGACCTGCCCTGACTTGGTGTTCTCCATGGAGCAATCGGGGATGATCTTGGAGAGCTGCACGATCCAGTTGTTGATCTTGTCCCTGCGCCGGCGCTCCACTGCCGGGGGGCACAGAGGGGTTGGGGGGCAGCAGGGCCCTGAGACACCCCCCCCCCTCCCCATACCCCATACCAGCCCCCCCTCTGGCTGGGCTGGGGGTCACTGTCCCCTGTTGTGCTGGACCCAGTCGCCAGGGGGGGGCAGAATGGGCCCGGTTGGGGTCAAATCAGCCTCTTTTAGGGTGGCCTCGAGGCTCCCCAAAGAAGGTTTTAACAAGAGCTTTGGGGTGTCTCCTTAGAGCTTTTCCATCCAGGAATCGGGAGCCGGGGCTGGCTGTTCTCCCGCACCGGATCCCTCCATCCCGCACCGGACACGGGATGCTCCCCCCATCCCGCTGCCGGTACCTTCGTTGTGCTGTGCCCGGCGCTTCTCATCCCGGGTGGCTCGTGGTGCCTCCGACTTCCTGGGGGAACACCGGCGGCGTCGGTCCTGGTGATCCCGGTGAGGATCCGGCTCCATCCCAGCCCTCCCCATGCCGGCATGGGGGGATGGATCGGGGTGATCCAGCCCGCTCCGTAAGCGCCGGAGCATCCCCCAGCCACGTGCCAGGGGATCCGTGAAGGATTCCGGGGTGGAGGGGGGGGCAGATTTGGGGGCAGATCCGGTACTCACGGGGAGTAAGGGTGGGCCCGGGGGGCGATGGACCTCTGCGGGCCCCCCTGCAGCACCTCCTGCGGCGACATCATCACAAAGAACTGCCCTGAAGGACCCAAAGGGCCACGGGGTGAGGCGAGGAGCAGCCCGAACCGGGCCACGACCCCCACCCTGGACACCCCACACCGTACCCGTAGGGGTGGGCTGCCCTAGGAGGGCCTCCGAGTTCTGCGTGGTGACGACGGCGGTGGCCGTGGTGCCCGCGCCGGCCGAGGTGCTGGTGTCGGCCACGGCCGTGGTGGGGAAGTAGGTGTAATGGGTCTCGGTGGCCGTGGCCTCCGTCTCCACCGCATCCTCGCTCGTGAAGGCGCCCTGGATGACGGCCTGCAACGGGGGAGCCGCAGCGGTGCCGCGGTGGGACAGGGCGCCGGAGACGCTCCCCGCCGCGCTCACCATCACCGGCACCCACCTGTGTCATGGACTGGGTGGCGGGGTAGCCGCTGATGGCGCTGGTGCCCTCCGTCTGCCCGTCCAGCTGCCCATCAGCCACTTGGATCACCCTATACATCACCTATGGAGAGCGTGGGGCTGCAGGGACCGGCCGGTGCCACCGGGCCCCCCACCCCGGTGCTCCCGGTGCCGGTACCTGCGTGCCGCCGTTCTCCGTGCGAAACACATACTTGATGTTGGGGTCGGGGAAGGTGGCTGCAGACTGGATGCTGGCAATGGCGACGCTGGTGGGATCCTCCCCTGTGGCCACTGCACCTTAAGGCAAGAAGAAGGTTTAGGGAGGCACTGGCACAGGGTATCCGAGGAATGGGGATGCTCCGGCCCTGGCAGTGCTCAAGGCCAGGTTGGACACAGGGCCTTGGAGCAAGGTGCTCCGGTGGAAGGCGGCCCTGCCCGTGGCAGCGGTTGGAGCCGGAGGAGCCTTAAGGTCCCTTTATCCCAAATCATTCCATGATTCTGCCCCATGCCAGGGAAAGGGCCAAGGCCAAAGGTCCCTGTGATGCTGAGGGGCTCAGCGCTATTCCCTTCTCTAGCAGGGGCAAGGACAGGGCCTGGTGTTAAACGCCTCCAGCCACTTGCTGGTGCTAAACTGGGCATGGCCAGTGCTAAACCAGGGCAGCCGCAGCCCTAAACAGCCCCCACCCCATAGCCCCCACCCCATAGCCCACAGGGGGTCCCCACTCACCTTCCTGGATCTGCACCGTTCCCTCTTCCGTCTCGGCTGCTTTCTGCTGCCTGCAAGGAGAGGAGCAACGGGTCAGGGACCCCCATACCCCATCACTGGGGATCCCCCATAGCCCATTACTAAGGACCCCATAGCCCATTGCTGGAGACCCCATAGCTCATTGCTGGGGACCCCACAGCCCATGGCTGGAGACCCCCATAGCCGATTACTGGGGACCCAATAGCCCATCGCTGGGGACCCCCATAACCCATTACTGGGGAACACATAGCTTATCGCTGGGGATCCCCCTTAACCCATTATTGAGGACCCCATAGCCCATTGCTGGGGACCCCTCATACCCCATCACTGGGGATCCCCATAGCCCACTACTAAGAACCCCACAGCCCATCGCTGGGGACCCCCCATAACCGATTACTGGGGACCCAATAGC